TTATGTACTTTTCCTTTTTTAGTACTTTCAATTGTCTTACATTGAATTATGTTATAGAATAAACATGTCTTGATTCTTAATGTGTCTAAAAAAACGATAGATGTCTTCGCAGTTTCTGCAGCCCTTTTGCTTTGCCAGGAGGTGCTAAAGTTTTATTCTAATAGAAATGGTACATAATATAAAATTCCCTTTAAGGTATGACTGCTCCATCTTTTGAAATGCTCCCGCTATCTGTCTGTTACAGCCAGTAATGTGAGCTCTGGCCCGTCAGCCGAGGAGTTCAGGTCCTGTTATCACTCAGCTGGGCGGTTTTATGGCTGTTGGATGGTTGTTTGCTCTGAAAATACCCAGAGAGTCGAGCTGCTCTGTGTTTCCCTTTACTTCACAGGCTCAAAAAGCTGTGCTAAACACCAGCAATTCTCCATTAAGCTATATTTATAATTACAATCAGCTTTATTGCCTCCTAAATGTCACTTCTCAGGCTTTCTAGTTTTACATGCAGGAGCTGTTGCAGAGATCTGTTCCCTGACCCAGAGAGATTTAAAAAGAATCGGGAACGTTATCTCCAATTTAGTGTCTTCAACACATTCAGACATTTTTCATTTACGGCTTAACCCTGCTCCCGTCAGTTCTGTGTTTAACACTGACTTCAGGGTTAACACTTTGCTAAACAGAGCAGAACCTCATCAGCTGCTGCAGAAAATCCATCCACCAATCTGAGACATTCAGCTGTTCAGGTAAAGAACTAATTTGATTAGTTTTTAATATTTAGCTTTCAAAACGGTTTCAAAACACAACATTAAAATGAGTACAGGAAGGATTCCTTGTGCCAATGTCTGATGGAGTTTTCTTTAAAGTCGTAGGGAAATCATATTTAAATTCCAAATCATTCATTCAATCAAATTTTTTCGGTCATAGCATCTGGTTGTGGCTGGTTTCTTGTAAGCATCTTGCTAATCAGTTAGCAACTTGCCAGCAGCACCAGCAGCTGTTGCTAAACAGACTGATGTCCCAGGTATGTGAAGCATTGACTGATTTTGAGACGTTGTTTTTCCCGGTCTTGTGCAAAATTCTTATCCCCTATGAACATCCAGTTTAATCGGCAGCTGTTGTTTACAATTTTTTTCCACCAACTACAATCTTTTTTTTTTTTTTTTAAGAGCGTCTCGGCCCTTTGATGGACATCTAGGCTCCCTCCCTCAGGGCGCTGTCCAGCACATTTCAGCATGAACACTGGTTAAATCAGAATGATGCACTTTTATGAGCTTAATACAGACAGAAGATATGATTTTAGGCTCAATCCAACATGGTGGACTCTTCTAGAAAAAATTGCTTCAGGACAAATATGTTGGTCCGCCCCTCATGGCTGGTTTCCCTGGAAACTAGAGGGTCCTACCTTTCCAACGTTAATCAGTTGTCCCGTTTAGTAGTGATGACTCTTAAACCCCCAAACACAGTTGATTTACAGCATAATGTCATGATCAAAGGCTTTGTGCATCCATGATTCCTAAGGTAGAAAAATGTATTTCTTTTTAACCAGATTCATTTTTTATGAGCTAAACGCATTTGGCCAAATTGTGCCAAAAATAGCAGCTCTGTCTGGAAACATGCTCCATTAAAATCAGCAGCTGATCAATATGCTTAAACTGGTTCAGTCTTAATGGGCTGTAGTTATCATAAAGATGTTGATCAGTACAGTCTGGGATGTCTCTTGGTGTGGACAATTATTCAATATTAGTAAATATTATGATTTAACTCAAAACGACAATATGAATTTTAAAATGCACGCCTGATATTTTACTAAACGAATATTTGACTTACAGTCTATAATATCAGCGTTAAAACTGCAAATACTTCCAAACGTGCTGTATCCCATGTTTTCATCCTTCCTTAGATCTACTAAAAAGCTAACCCAGTTCAATAATAATATTGATATAGCTTTAATTTGAAATAAGTTGTTGCTTAACGGCTCCTTTCCAAGGTAAGGTCAGGTTGGTTTGCACTTTGCAAAATGATTTAATCAAATCAGTCAAATTTAACTGCAAATCTTCCATTTGGCTCAGTGTTGCTCATTGAATCACAGAGGCTCTACAGCAACCCCCACCTCCTTAGAACAGAAAATAACAGGAGAACCTTCAGTAAAACCCCACAGAACCACTGGTCCAGGAGTCCTTTGCTTTGGTGTCAGTCACTGCAAATCCTCAGATTTTCCTCACTGAAGCTGCTGCATATAGCCTGATTCAAAGCCATCCACTTCCTGTAAGGTTTCTCTCAGCTGCCCGTTGGGTCTTTTTAAAGAGTTATGTGGGAAGTAATGTGTTTTTTTAAAACTAATGCGTGTGCTGGTGTGTGGCATTTAAGCCACCTGTGCCCTGCCGCCTCCTGCAGCGTCACAAGCTGAAATGGCATCAAGAAAAGCTGCGATGCTCGCTTTAACCAAACCTGCTCTGCTCTCATCTCCCTAAATCAATTAGATGAGTCCATTTCTAATTGGCATGAACTAATATGGTTTTTATTTTGTGATATTCTGCAGTTGGGTTTTTTTTCTCCCCCCCTTCCCATGTCTTTCTCCTCTCCTCCCTCGCATCATCTGTTCTGTGAAAAGAGGCATCAGCTTATTACAGGTGCCTGCCGTCGCTCTGCCATCCTCCTGTCAATCCCTCGCTCTAATTGGTTGTAAAGGCTGCCGGTGCGTGCGCGTGTGTGCTGTTGTTTAGACAGCCTTTGACTGGCACTTAACCCATGAGCTGATCTGATTTATTATCCATGTCCATCAGGGGCAACCCAGTCTCACCTCCTCACCAGTTACTGAGTGTGATCACTTGCTGGAGCAACGTATTAATATCCTGATAAGATACAGGGATATAAAATGCCCCGTTTGATCCAGCCTTCCCTTGTAGCTTTGTTTGCTGTGTAGTGAATAACGCGTCAGCCATGGCTCGCTTCAGTACAGCTGATTTCACGCCTTTCGATCCAGCTGTCTGAAGGGAAATGTATAAAAAAGGCTTTTATTTCAGCACTTGTTGTAATTACATCTTCCCATGAATAAGTTAACGGCCCTCTGGGTAAAGTGTTTGGTTATAAAAACAGAAAACAAGTCGATTCTTTGTGCGAACACAGCTGCAGTTCAGTTGATGCAAATGTAAGTGTATGATGGAAAATGGGGCCATGAATTTAGTTCGATATTTTTTATTTAAACAAAAAAATGTTTGGAAACTAACTATAAAAAATAAATAAAAGATTTGAAGGTTGTTCACACACCCAAAAAACAAAAAACAAAACACAATACAAACATGGATGCTTTAAAGACATTTCTAGTTCCCAGGGTTCTGAATGCAACAAAATATTTTCTCCCCTAAGCTGTCAGTCATCATCCAACACCCTATGCTATCGAAGCCCCGCCTCCATGCTGGGGTGCAGTTTGACACTGAATGTGTAAAAAAAAAAAAAAAAAAAAATGAAAGGCTGTTTTTCTAATCTTGTTTCAAGACTGTTACGAAAATATATATATTTTTTCCATTTCAAATCCTTTCTTTTCAGTTTCAAATCATCTTTTCTAGTTTTAAATCTTTTGTTTCAAATATATATTTTCTATTAAGCTTTAAGATTCAAAATGATTCTTTTGATCAAACCAAATTTAGCTGCAGTTTCTCTCTATGGAACCGTAGCTTTCTAAAGGGGATATTCTGCTTCTATTTGAGTGAAGCTCTATTAAAATGAATGTAGTACTTGATACCTGCAATATGTTGAAAGATGTTGTTTTTTTATTTTTCAACCTGGTGAAGCTGCTGAATTTTTCAGCAATGTTTCTCTTTAAATAAAAGGAAAGCTTGTTACAAACAGAAAGAGCTTTGATGCCCTTAGATTATTTCTCCTGTTTTCTAAGAGGCTGGTAATCTGTGGAGAGATGGATTTGGCAAGATGGTGAGCCTGCTGAAGTAGACCCATTTCAACTCGCTGGTTAAAGTTCACCAGTGATGAAGGAGCTCATTAGTCCAGTCTCTAACGAGGCTTCCAGGGCCCCACAGCATCACAGATCCTCCTCCTTACTTTAGCATCGTTAGCTCCTGTTAGGCTGTTCAGCTGAGAAAAACAAACATCTCAGGGTTTTCCCTGGTTCCTGTTTAAAAGAAAAAAAGATTTTTCTTTCCCACTAAGTCCTTTCTAAGCTCCTACCCTTGCTCTTGCTTGGTGTCCAGATGTTCATCAGCCCACTGCATACAATGAGGGCAGTGTGAGGCGCCCTCTGACCTCCCCTTATACACTTTCTACCATGTGGATGTTTGCAGATTCCTGCTGCCCCTCAAACAGCAGACAGCTTCCAGGTTAGAGGTAGACCAGCTGATGTTTTGAGCCGATATTAGTATTCTTTTTTGTTATTTTTCCTTTATCAGCAGCAATGCTTTGAGATCAGGTGAAGGGCATGGTGACTCTCTCTCCATTTGTCATCCATTGTTACTGGTATCTTGATTTAAGCCACATGGGTAGATCTAGATTCTAGAATCCATCTCATAAGATTGGAGTAAGATTTGCAAAAGTTGGTCAGGTTTAATGTTTTATTCTGTATACAAAAGTTAAATATTAAATTACAGCCTGATGGGTTCATGTTTTTCATCCTGCCCTAAGAAGCTGATCTAAAGCAGAATGATTTTCTCTTTCAGCTGTGTCTCGCGTGTTAACCTAAAGGTTGGCATAGCAACCAGTGGGACTCATCATCTCACAGTGGGAAAGCTTTACATACATGCTTTAGGCCCCACATGGCTGAGCCTGCACACTCTAAATGAAGCACTAACGATCATGGAGCTGGTTGTTGATCGATAGGATTGTTCAGAACCCTGCCAGCTGATGGAGTGGGAATGGAGGGTCCAACATGTTTCTAAGATGCTCTGAAGTTAGATCATTAAATGCTGCTGTTTTTCATTTTTGTGTTTTGGACAGAGTGAAGGAAAGACGGACAGGAGAGAGCTGGGTTGGTGGGTGGGTTGTTAATCGGAGAGAGCGCAGTGCTTGGAGAGTCGCACAGATAAAAGCAGGGAGACGAAGCTGAGAGGCAGGGAGGGAGGAGGCAGAGGAGAGACAAAGGTATGAAGGGATGTAGCCCAGATGGTGAACGGAGGGATGGAAGGAACAGAAAGCGACAGCAGGAGGAGGATTCCATCTTCCAACAGGCATTCCTGAGTTTAGCCATTCTGGTCCGGGCGATGCCATCGCTGTGATTTTTGTTTTTATTATTATTTTTTCTTAATCACTACGGAGAACAGGAGCAACCTGTGAAAAAGCAGGAGCCTGTTGCCTGGATACCTCTGCTGTCGCCACAACGGCCAAAAGCCAGGACTGAAGCGAGCGTGAGCCTTTGGGTCAAAGCGCATCTGGATGGCCCTCTGGCTCCTCCGCTCCCTGGATGATCGCATCGCATGATGAGGAAGGGGTCGCCACATCACGGAGGCTTCGAGGAGCGCCAGAGAGAGAGGCTGGGTGTGTGTGAGTGGGGGGTTGGGTGGCTCCCCGTTTGGATCATCATTTGTAGAAGCGGAGAACAAAGAATTTAAAAACCAAGTTTAACGACCAAAAAAGACTGGAGGCAGTGGTTGCAGAGGACCCCAAAGCGGGGAGGGTCCAGTTCAGAGGAGCGGGCTGCTGGCCGGGTCACTTCAGCAGCTAGAGAGACGGAGCCATGCAGATCCAGCCGTCAGCTTCTCACTCCAAAGCCTCCAGCTTCATCCTCAGTCAGAGATGTATCCTGGCTTCCAAAATGGAAATCCACCGGTACGTACCTGCCTTCATTCATCAGATCCTCGCCGCCGCCAAGTCCTGCCCCCATCCTGTTTGCTCTCATTACCCCTCCTGCTAGATTGGGATGATTTTTGGGATTTCCTGAGATGGGATTCATAGAAGAAGACTTGAATGATGCAGTGGCCATTCTGCAGTCAACTCTATTTAACCTGATGCAGTAATCACTGTAACACTTGTTGCCACCTTTAAATATCTCAACCAGAAACTTTCTCTTAATAAAGAGAAAGTTTCTGGTTGAGATCATTTTCCTTATCTGCCTAAAGCTCAAACATTATTGGTTTAACACAAATGATCCAGCTTTTTTTTTTTTTTTTTTACCAGTTAATATCAGTTACACTGTAACAAGTACAGAGTAAAGAAATTAACTCTGCATTTTAACCCATCCCCATGGGGAGCAATGGGCTGTCATTGTGCGGCGCCCGGGAAAAAGTGTGCACTTAAGGGTATTGCTCAGAGACCCAGAGTGGAGGTCTTTGGGAGTGGGGTTTGAACTCGGAACCTCAGAGTTCCAAGCGTAACACCTTTACAACTGGGCCGCCATTAGTTATTCTGGGTGCCTTCATTATATTGAGCCTGATAGATGGACTATGATTGTCCCACAGTGGGGACATTTGTCCTCCTGGTAATGGTCTTAGTTTCATTCCACAACAATCCCACACCCTTGCTAAACGACCAATCACATTCACTTTATTCACTCGTGTAAAGTCGTGTACCACTCGGGAGAATTCGGAAATGCAACGGTTGGAACAGCTGCTTACCTATGAATTTCCGAAGTTACATTTTTATGCCCCAAGACATCATTAGATTTCTTGTTTAAACTAAAATCTGTTTTATTCTTTCTGTTGTTTTCCTTAGTGCCTGCTTCACACCACCAGCCTATGATTTAAAAGAAAAACAGGACAAAACACTGAACATTTGCAACAATACAGGACGGTGACTATTTGCCACTCACAATTGAGACCCTAACCCCCTGATCGTTGACCCAAACTAGGACCATTTACCTCCATGAATAAAAAGAATACCGTGTGGGAAAATAGCAAATATTAAGAAGATAATATTAGCCTATATGGTCATACAATGTTCAATAATGGTTCCAAATAAACCTTTTCCAGTCATTTTAGGAGGGAGAAGTTGCGCACATGTTGATACAGAAATGTTAGAAAATATTGTGTTCATCTGGGATCAGTGTCATTCAGAGGGATGTTCTTCTCTACAGGAGAGAAAGAAAGCTAACTTAAAGTTTACCAACAGGATGGGTTTCACTTGGATGTGACAAAGCTATTCAAACGGTCAAAAATTTTCATTGTGGTGAAACATTTTAACCTTGGTTTTATTTTCCTATTGGCTATTTTTATTTTAAGTAGCTCTGCTCTTAGTTTAATTTAAGAACTTTTGTTATGCTTGTTAAATTAAGCTGGTGAAGATTGTCAGTCATCCAGGTCATAGTCACAAAGAAGTAAAAAAAAAGCAGGACATCCTTTAGAGAACCAGAATGTTCACATTTTTGACAAAGAAGATAGGTGGTTTGAGAGGGTGTGAAGGAAGCCATCTATGTTAAGAAAACAAAAAACCCTTAAACAGAGGGGGTGGACTCAGATTTCAGCTTTCAAAAACCTACAATTCAGAGTTGATCCCTTCCCACTATCATTTCAACCCCCAACCCAATAAAGGGGAACAGAAGAGTTTGCCTATTCAGCCAGGCCAAAAATTCCCTTTAATGACCCCCCTTTCAGAGACATAGACACATATGGGGCATTGCAGGCTAAGAAAGATACCAAACAACCCCAATTCCAAAGGGGTGGACCACTTCATTAGGTTCAATCTGCATGTTTTAGAAACAAAAACAAGTCCACTCTATAAAGCCTCCAACTCAGCGCTATTTCTGACATTTTGAATTGAAAAAGCTTCCTGGATGGGAAGAGAAACATCTTCAAGCCTGTTAGATCAACTTTGTTTTTTTGTTTTTTTAAAATCTGCACCAATTTTTATACAGTTTTTATCAGTGAGCTGCATATGCGATTTTCGTTAGCAGTGCAGATGTTTGATAATCAACAGGGCAGAGTTTGTTAGTATAGATCAGGCCCTGTAAGATGATGAATGGATGACTAGTTGGTGTTTCCTCCTATAATGTTGCATTCTCTGTATTTCCCTATGCAGTCCAGCTGTGGTTCCCACATCAATGTGAGTCTTGTCCTAGTGTGACCGGGCTTCTAATCCCAGCCTTGTAAAAACGGGCCAGGCCACCGGTCACCTCACTTTATGGTCAACACCCTGTTAACACTGTGTTGTATTTTTTTCACTGTTTATGTTTCCTGATCTGGACCTTTTTGGGATAATCGCAACAGTAATCCATATACTATTGGGGGGGGGGGTGTCGGTCGGATCCTAATGAGAAACGACATTTGTGGAAAGAAGGTGTAAAAGATCCAGAGTTGGGGTTTAGGACGGGGAGTTTGGGCCGAAACGAGTGGACTCTGTAGATTCATGGTGGTGTGGATGATTGTGTAATGCCCTTTTTTTTTTCTTTTTTTTTTCAATGGGTGCTTAAAGTCAGTATTCCAAAACTACAGCTGAAAACATATGTGAAAGAGGCAATTCTCTGTTGGTTATCAGGACGATGAGAGGTTTAGTCTTTAGGATTTCTGGGAGCGCCTAGCCAGCATTGGAAGCTGGTTCAGTTCCTCCTGAATCGGCTGTGAAGTCAGCTACGTTTGTCCACCATTCCTCATCATACTTAAAACAATGCTATGATAAGACCGGCTGGTCTAATTCAGGTAATGTTCATCCTGTTGCCATGGTAACGTTAAGTATAGGGTCATGAGTTAGCCGGCAGCGGATCCACCTGTGAACCCCTCCCCTGGAGATCTGCCTCTTCAGACAGCTAATGGATTCTGGGAGTGAGCCGCTCAATGGTTAATTGATTCCAGGAGCGTTCTGAGCACCGGACCAAGCTCCTCATTAAACAAGGCCGTGCTTGAGTTGTCCAGCCGATGGTGCAGGTAATCAGAGGGCAGCTGTGTTTTTAAAGCTTAATGGCTGACATGAGGTGACGCAAACAAAGGAAACTTTGTGATTTATCAGAGGAGAGAAATGCCAGATTTTTAAAGGTCAACAACGAATCCATTCCTTACTCTACTTGGCAACAGCTAAATCATCTACTTTAGAGTCTTAGGTCGAAGTAAAATAATCATTCAATGATTTCAGTTTACATTTAAATCTGCAATCTGTCAACTCTTCCTGGTTTCACTACCTGGTTGCTTTTTGCTGAATTAAACCAGGTGGAACTAAAGCTTTTCCACTTGAGGAATTCTGGATAGAGAATATTGAAAGACAATAAAAAAAAAAAAAAATTTTATTTTATTTTTTTATATAATTACTGCTCTAAGTGGGTCACTCTGTCAGCCAAAGGCAGGTTTTACAGTCTCTATACTCCAGTTAATGATTAATTAATTACTAAATTAGTTGATGATTAATTATATAATTGAATATCTTATTATTAATCTTGATTATTGATTATTTCAGCCCTAAATCAGACTATTTAATTCATTAGCTTGTTTCTTGGAGGTTTTCTCCTTCTATTCAAAGAACAGCTGTCTGGTTTCTAAACAAAGTGTTTTGGTATTTTGCATCAGTTTGCAGACCTTTTCCTTATGTTGCTCCTATTGGATGTAATGTTGTTTGTCAGAGCATGTGTCCGGTTGCTATTCTGCCTCCCTTCATTCCCATAGTTTAATAAACTTTATGAAATGTGCACATTAATTAATCAAATTTAGCAAAAGTAATTTCTGTTTCACTGAGGAACATTTCTGTTCGCCATGCTCTTGGACTGGGATGTCCAAACTGGGATTAACTGGTAAAAACAGGTACAATTCAATATCGATCTGTTTGCAGACGATATGATGATCTGCAATATGAGTCGGTCACGGCACAATTTCCCTTCACTTCAGTTCACAGGTCTGCTATGTAATGCAATGTCATAGCTGCCCGTTTAACACAACTATTGATATAAACTCTCAAACTATTTATGCTTTCAACTTCAGGCTTTTAGATTAAAACCTGTATCTTTGAAATATATGAAAAATAAGACTAATAATTATTTGTTGTTTTTTTGTCCTGCCATCTATTTCATCTCTTTTCTGGGCTAACTAACATGAGCTAAACATTAAATGTAGGCATTCAGTAAAACATTTGAGGAAAAAAAATGACCAAAGTAAGAAATATTTTACATTATCTTTAAACCCAAATGATTATTCAGGTCATATTCTGCCCTAGTTCAGTAAATCCGTTTTAGATTATGAATCTTATATTGTGGAAAGTGTGAGCTGTCTGCTGACAGCAGAGATGATGATGATAATAATAATTGATCTTTGAATAATTGATCTCACATTGGAGAAATTTACCTCTGAATTTAACCCATCCCTTTGGGGAGCAGTGGGCTGCCATTGTGTGACGCCCGAGGAGCAGTGTGGGGTTAAGGGTCTTTGCTCAGGGACCCAGAATGGCAGTCTGTGGGAGTGGGGCTCAAACTCAGAACCTCTGGTTTCCAAGCTCTGTGCCCTAACCACTAGGCCGCCACTCCCCATAATTATTTATGCGAAGGCACCTGGTGAACAGCAGAGCAAATTTTGCAGCGACTGTATGATTTTTTTTTTTTTTTAAGTTGGTTTGCTTTGTGATTCAGCTGCTTGTGATCTTAAATGTTTTTTGATTTAAGAAATTATTTATATTGCCTTTAAGCACAATTTAACAATTCTGTGGTTAAGTCATATATTTTTAACCAAAGAAACTTACAGTTATGAGTCAGGGAAAAAAATCCTCCCCTGTGCCGAGACTTAAGGTCTCATTTCCTCAAAATGAAGGGAAGAACATGCACTTACTTCTGAGATTTCTTCAAATTTAACACTTTTAACCAAATTCAGACCAGCTGTTTGCTAAAAAAACAACTGAAATTGGTCAAACACAGTCTTTTTGCA